TTTTAATAGAGTTTTTAAAAAGATAAAAGGTAAACTGTTAAAATAAATAATGAATCATGACTGAATGTTATAGGAAGGTTCCTAGAATTTTCGTAGTTTGAAAAAAAAGGTTAGTGACTTATGGATTTTTGATTTTATATAAAGGAACTAGTTAAAAAATCGTCAAAGGCTTGTAGTAATAGTCTAAGGTGGCGACCGTGAAACGGGAAATCCATGGCGTAGGTTAATTTTGTGATTGAAAGCTCGGAATTCGAACCAAAGTAGATATATCTGGGATTATAACCAATTGGAATCGCACTAGTATTTGATATTGTTATTAACCACAACATTGCAAAGTCGGTTCATAAACTTAAAGGATATTTTGGGACCTAATAAAGACAAGCAAATTTCGAGTCAGTAATTTAACCTTATCCGAATATCAAATTTAAATTTGATTTTCTCTTTCCTTTGCCTAAAACTTTAGGTGAACTGAAACATAACGCTTTTTGGTTTTGCCCCAAGTATGAACCGACTTGAAATAGAAATACAATAAAACTTATGTTATTAGAGAAGTCTGATCAGCCTTTCGAAATGAGGATCTCAATCAATGCAGATTGATGAATCATTATCTATGATCTTGGCCTTATAGATTTTTTTCTGAGTCTTCAGGACTTAAATCGTTCTATAAGTGGAACTCAGCACCCGATCGACAAAGGTTTGGCATTGCACTCAAACTGCAAATACCGTATGACCATATATACATTTTGGCTCGCGAGAGATTGGTTTTTGATCAATAATCGTAAGCATGTTGGAGTGTATGGGTGAACCAAACGTTGGAAGATATAAACCTAACATTCTGACTCTCTGGAACATACTATATACATATGTACATATGTACGTAAGATTATGCAACAAATTCGTGAGACCACGAGTATTTCTTATGGACTCGTTGCTGCTGTGTCCGAAAGTGTTCAATTACTTGAGCGCTCTAATGTTCTAGAATTCTCGACTCACAATCCATATCAACTACTTAAACCTATGAAGTTTTTGTGCAATTAAAGCGGCAATTGTGTGATCAGTCAGCCGTTTTAAGGATGTTAATTCGTCGTTTCAGTGCTGTGGTTTCTATTGATTTACGAAAAACAGAGCGCTACATACTACTGATATTTCATTTTTCATGCCCCGATTCCATGTGAAGTTCCGAATACTTGCTAACGTATGAGTCGTCTAGTTTTAATTGAAAATAATGTTTGTCTATAATAGCAAATCATTAATCACTATTTGCTGATACACTAATGTTAATAATGTTAAATTATAGTAATCTTGTAGTATTTACTTTTTTTTGCTTTGGAAAATTACATCAATAATAATAAATTTCTATAATTATTTTAATTACATATTACAAAAGAATTTCAGATTTAGTAAATGAGTAAAACTTTAATAATAGAATAGATGATTAAAAAAATCCAAATCCATATTTTTTTGGTTTCAACTTTTAAAGTATAGGTACCTATATTTTCAAATTTAAGTATATTTTCTCCAACTTTAAGGATATTGACCTTGCTTTGTTAAACAACAAAGTAAACAGCAAAATAATAATAACAACAACAAAATAAATAAATAGGGAAGTAGAAGTAAGTAGAAGAGTAAAGTGGAGGTAATGTAAGACAATCATAATAATGATGTTAGACAAAAAAAATTATTTACTTATATACACATGTATACAAAGAGAAAAAACAAGCACGTTATATTACTCAAATACATAACAAAGTAAACTATGTACACGGCTATGTATATATGTACATATGTATGTACTTTATTATTGTTTATATTATATACCAAACGAAAAAAAAGTTATATGAAAAAGTTTATACTCACAGTATATATTAATGTCATTTGTATATAAGGATAAACAAAAACAAAAAAACATGAGAATAACTACAACAACAGCAGCATGTAAAACTGGGAATATAAACAAACTGCGTTAAAAGTCTACCCTGAAATAAGAACACATTAACAGCAGCAGCAACAACAAAAGAAAACAATAATAAATACATGTCGCTGCTGATGTTAAATAAATATGGGTTGGTTAACAGAGATGCCATAGGTTTTTCATTTGTACATTTTTAGAGCAATAGTGGCAGCTCTATGGCAAGTAGAAAAAACTCTATTGAGGCGTATTCATACAAGGTGAATACTTAAACAGCTGATTGTTAAGACTATAAAAAAATATGAATTTGCCCGTTTTTGCTTGATTTTCTCCATTGTTAACACATTTTGTCCATTCGCCTTGAATAAAATTATCAAATTAGTAATGTCAACTAGATGTAATTATAAAGCTGTGATATTAAAGGAAAATTATACAATAATTTAATGAAATAATAATAATAAACTTCAATCAAAAAACCTTCCTTCAATGTCTGTTTGTAATTGACTATAACCATAATGTTGATTAAAGAGATTTTTATATTGAAGAGGGCAGGGCGTCTTATAATTTTCAGCTTTAATAAAATTTCTATTGCAACTTACCACTGATGCCACATCATTACCGGCATACAGCAGCAGCAACAGTAACTGTAAGGAATAATTTTCTATATTGTGGCTGGATTTTTACGAGGGTCATCTCTAATAGTGAAGAACATTTGAATCTTCTCGGATTATGATATAGATTAGGAACGAAATAAAGATTTGTTTGTGAGCTGCAATCGTTTTGTTGGTGAAAACTTCAATGAACAAGATTATTTTATCTACCCGATTCTATATATCGTAACCTTAGCATGGAATAAATCTTTCTTTTTTTCATTAAACCCCATAGCAAAGTCCATGGTATAGGCTAATTTTGTGATTGAAAGGCCGGAATTCAAACCAAAGGAGATATATCTGGAAGTTGAAATATGTATCCGATCGACAAATTACCTGCAAATACCGTATGACCTTATAGACGTTTTTGGCTCGTGAGACGACTAAGATTTTATTGGTTCTTAATCAATATTCGTATACATGTTGTAGCATATGGGTCAACCAAACTTTTGAAGTTATATACTCAAAATTGTGACCCTCTGGAACATTTCGACATAAGTATCTCCGATTCTTGACTAATGTTCAAAACATGCAACATTATCTCCGCACTTTTGAAACACAACCCTTATGTTAAAGTATAATATTGTATAAAGTTTCGGTTTAATATTGTTGGTTAAGGGGATGGATGGATTTCCTTTTTTCATTACAATTTAACTTTATTGTAAATTGTACATATACGTGAGTTGTTGTAATGGGTTAACAACAAACCCCATATATGAAAATTCTTGTTGTAAATGAATAAAATATCAGTTAAAGTCATAAGGATGAGGTTTTCTAAAATGATAGTAACAACAGCCAGCCAGCAGTGGAAGCAGCAGCCAAACCGAGTATCATCAACAACATCATACTCATCGGCAGCAGCATTATTATTATTGTTATTTTCGTTAACAAAGAGCATCCGTTGAAGAAGAAGAAGAGGGAGTTCAGTTGAGTTGAAAATGCTATGAAAAATTGTTTGGTTGTTGAAACCAAAAAATAAAAAAAAAGATTAAATGGTTTGTTGAACGCAATGCGTTGGCTTTGTTGCTACGGTTTGGCCATAAATCGAAAACAAAAGTTTTTAAAAGATAAAAAAAAATTTCGTTAAATTTCGGGCAAAGGGAAATTATTATAAATGGGTTGACTGTGACGGCTACCCAATGTTCTTCTACCCCACCCCACCCCTCCTCTTCCACCTCTTCTCTTACGTACATATATGTTTTAACAGCAAAACAGATAAGAAATAAAAGATGAAAAAACCCATAGATGTGTTAAAACTGACACATGCGCAGTGAAGTATTGAAATGTATTTAAAGAACTCAATTTGCCTCAAAAGGATTAAGCAAAAACAAAAAATGTTGTTTAAAGTATTTTTCATTAAATTTTTTAAAGAAAACCTTTAGGTGGGATTTCGAATTTTTGTAGATTTTTTTTAACTAGGAAATTTAATTAAATTAAAAGCCATTTTGTAAACAAAATGGTTGCAGCTGTTGTAGTCATGTAAGAGCAAATAAGAAAAAGTGTAAAAACTTGTTATTTCATTAAATATTTGATCAATATGAATGATATTTAGATATCATTCATGTTGGACTATTGAAATTCGATTAAAATTAACAAAATTGAAGACTGGGACATTAATTTTAATTAAAAAATGCTTTGAACTTATAAAATTTGTCAAAAAAGGCAAAATTCTAAAAGTATTTTCAAAATTTGACTTTAAACTATTTAAATTTCTTTCGTTTCCAGTCTGTCTTTTCCATATTTAAATATATTACCTTACAACAAAATAATTTACGTTTAAATTACAAATAAAGTAAAAAACCTTGATTTAGGGAAAAAAAACAACAACTTCTGACAAATCACTGCTATTTTTGCCGAAGAAGCCTTGGCAACGAATAATTTGAGACCAAGAAAAAATGGTAAAAATTCAACTCAACAGCTGATTCGAAGGAAAATTATAAAAAAATATAAATGAAACTAAAAATAAGGAAAACAAGAACAGAAAAAATCGATTTAAATACAAAAAAAGGTTTCCCTGACAAGCTTAAATAAAAATAACAAATCCACCCAAGTAAAGGAAAGAAAAGAATTTAAAAAAAAAATACAAGAAAGGGCCCTTTAAAAGGGGGTGGTAGTTGATAGGTGGTGAATATTTATTGCTTTAAGGAAATTAACATATTTTTGAAAGAGAACAGCTTTAGTTGTCACAACCAAATTGATAGACAAGCAAAGTATGTATTAAAGTTTGATTTCAACTGCTGAGAAAGTTATTTAAATTAACTGAAACCTGTTTGTTTACACATTAGTTACCACAACTATATAAGTTGTTTACTGTAACTAAATCATTAATTTAAGCCATAAAATTGTTTAAGCAACGTTTCTATACAAATTATTATTGTTTATTAAAAATATTATAAAAATATTTAAAAAATACGTAAATATTTCAATAAAATTCTACTTACTTTGTTTATTTGTTTAAGCGAAATAATAATAATAAGGTTTTGCAAACAAAAATATTTAATTCCAATAAACTGCAAGAAAGAAAAAATAAAAATAAATATAAATTATTACATTATTACATGATAATTTTAAATTAAAAGTAAATATTTTTAAATAATTTTATGGTTTAATTAAACAATGTTGACACACTAAATAAAGGTGTGTGTGTGTGTGTCAAATTCATTTTATAGTCAAAAACGTGACTTGAACCATTTTGTGTATAAAAACACATTTAATTTAGTCATTGCTATAAAAAAAAGAATTTTAAACAAATGACAATAAAATTAATAAAATCTGTTTTCTTTGTTTATAACGAACAAAAAAAAATTAATTGAAAATCAGTTTGTTAATCTAACTACGGAAATTGTTTAGACATTAACTTTTTCGAGAGCGACTAAAAGTCCCTGGGAAACACATTTGTTTTTTTTTTTTAATATTAAAAGCGCGTGACTTGTCAAAAACAGAAATTTTAAATGTTATTGAAATTTCTATAAACGATATAAATAAAAACTCATTTAATACTAAACACACTGTCATTTTACATAAATAACTCTTAAATAAAAAAATAATTTAGAAAACATTTTTAAACTTTTCGTTTAAGTCTGAGTTCCAGTTCAATTGAAATAAAGTTATAATATATATCTTCTTCAGTTCTAGTTCTGATCTAGTTCAATTCTTGTTCAGTTCCAGTTCTGTTCTTGTACAGTTCTAATTAGTTCAGTTCAGCTCTATTCTAATTCAGTTCTAAGTCTGTTCTAGTTCCGCTCTAGTTCTATTTTAGTTCTGTTCTAGTTCTGTCCAAGTTCTGTTCTATATCTGTTCTAGTTCTGTTTTAGCTCTATTCTAGTTCTGTTTTAGTTCAGTTTTAGTTCTGTTCTAGTTCTAGTTCTGTTCTAGGTGTGTTGTAGTTCTATTCTAGTTCTGTTCTAGTTCTGTTCTAGTTCTGTTCTAGTTATGTTCTAGTTCTGTTCTAGTTCTGTTCTAGTTCTGTTCTAGTTCTGTTCTAGTTCTGTTCTAGTTCTGTTCTAGTTCTGTTCTAGTTCTGTTCTAGTTCTGTTCTAGTTCTGTTCTAGTTCTGTTCTAGTTCTGTTCTAGTTCTGTTCTAGTTCTGTTCTAGTTCTGTTCTTAGTTCTGTTCTAGTTCTGTTCTAGTTCTGTTCTAGTTCTGTTCTAGTTCTGTTCTAGTTCTGTTCTAGTTCTGTTCTAGTTCTGTTCTAGTTCTCTTCTTGTTCTGTTCTAGTTCTCTTCTAGTTCTGTTCTAGTTCTGTTCTAGTTCTGTTCTAGTTCTGTTCTAGTTTTGTTCTATTTCTGTTCTAGTTCTGTTCTAGTTCTGTTCTAGTTCTGTTCTAGTTCTGTTCTAGTTCTGTTCTAGTTCTGTTCTAGTTCTGTTCTAGTTCTGTTCTAGTTCTGTTCTAGTTCTGTTCTAGTTCTGTTCTAGTTCTGTTCTAGTTCTGTTCTAGTTCTGTTCTAGTTCTGTTCTAGTTCTGTTCTAGTTCTGTTCTAGTTCTGTTCTAGTTCTGTTCTAGTTCTGTTCTATTCTAGTTCTGTTCTAGTTCTGTTCTAGTTCTGTTCTAGTTCTGTTCTAGTTCTGTTCTAGTTCTGTTCTAGTTCTGTTCTAGTTCTGTTCTAGTTCTGTTCTGTTCTAGTTCTGTTCTAGTTCTGTTCTAGTTCTGTTCTAGTTCCGTTCTAGTTCTGTTCTAGTTCTGTTCTAGTTCTGTTCTAGTTCTGTTCTAGTTCTGTTCTAGTTCTGTTCTAGTTCTGTTCTAGTTCTGTTCTAGTTCTGTTCTAGTTCTGTTCTAGTTCTGTTCTAGTTCTGTTCTAGTTCTGTTCTAGTTCTGTTCTAGTTCTGTTCTAGTTCTGTTCTAGTTCTGTTCTAGTTCCGTTCTAGTTCTGTTCTAGTTCTGTTCTAGTTCTGTTCTAGTTCTGTTTTAGTTCTGTTCCAGTTCTGTTCTAGTTCTGTTCTAGTTCTATTCTGTTCTAGTCCTGTTCTAGTTCTGTTCTAGTTTATGTTCTAGTTCTGTTCTAGTTCTGTTCTAGTTCTGTTCTAGTTCTGTTCTAGTTCTGTTCTAGTTCTGTTCTAGTTCTGTTTTAGTTCTGTTCTAGTTCTGTTCTTATTCTGTCCTAGTCCTGTTCTAGTTCTGTTCTTATTTCTTCGAGTACAATATTAAAAAAATCTTTTGAAAACAATGCACCAACATTGAATTGAAATAAATTCTCCTTTTTTAACAAAAAAAAGGAATTTTTATATACAAAAACTATTTGTTACAACAAAATAAATGAAGCATACTTCCGTTTTATAAAGAAAAAATTTAAAAAAATTAAATAAGAACAGCACATGATCAAGATAAACATTTCTTCTCGTTAATGAATGAAAATAATGACAACAAAAAACAACAAAAATGGGAACAAATATTTAACAGCAAATCATGATTTTTTTCATTAACAAACCAAAAAGTGAAAAAATTAGAAAAAATATTCTATACAGTTACACAAGATTGAGGTTAGACAAAATTAAAATTATTACAGAATACAAAAATAACACATAAAAAATGTAAAGAAAAAAGACGCTAAAAGGGCCCTACGGGTTTTATTATTTACTTTAATGTCAGACAGACTGTCAAATGAGAAAAGAAAAATAAACAAAATGTGATGGTTATAGAAAAAAGACGCAATTTAGAGCTAGACCTACAAATATTCATAGAAATTTAAAGAATCACAACTAAAAAAATTGTTTAACAAATTGCATAACATTAAAAATAAATAAATTTAAGTAGTTTTTGTTTTTCTTTTCTACAAAAAAAAAAACACAAAAAACTGTACTAAAAAGATCTCTAGCGTCTAGACCTTTAGGAAAAAAAACACAAGAGAGAATTATGCTAAAGAAAGAGGGAGAGCAGCGATCGTTTATAAGTGAGTAAGTTTAGTTTCAAAGATATGACGTGGGAAATGACGAACAATATTTAAAAATTTTTGGCCCCCTCCCTACACCACCACTTATACAAAATTTTGTTATATACATACATTATTTTTTTTATATATTTATTTTAATTTTTGTCTAGTTCTGTTTTTCTATTTCATTCAATTTTTTGCAAAAATATTCTTAAAAATATTGTTAGTAAATAAAAATTGTATATATTGTACATAGAGATTATAAATATTTTTGTATATAGAATTAAAAAATATAAGAATAATTTGACCTACTTTTTTATTTATTATGTGAAAAAAAAAATAAATGAACTATTTTCATTTTGAAAATTTACTTTCAAAACGGATTTTTTAATGTCTTTTGTTTGCCAATTGATTGGAAATTTAAGTATTCATGCATGACACCAACCAACCGGCCAACCAATATCATTGTGTGAGGAGAATGTAAAACTGGCCACAAAATATTGAGGTGAAACGAATGAATACCAACGCCACCTGACTGAAAAAGTAAAGGTGAAAATTTGTTTGAATTTTTTTATTATTGTTTTAATCTGTTTTAGAAAAAAATTATGGCAAACTGTGACTTTTAATTTTCTACTAAAATTTATCCAAAATTTCTAGTTCAATTCTATTTAAGTTCTAGTTCTGTTTTAGTTCTGTTCTAGTGCTGTTCTAGTTCTGTTCTAGTTCTGTTCTAGTTCCGTTCTAGATCTGTTCTAGTTCTGCTCTAGATCTGTTCTAGTTCTGTTCTAGTTCTGTTTTAGTTCTGTTCTAGTTCTGTTCTAGTTCTGTTTTAGTTCTGTTCTAGTTCTGTTGTAGTTCTGTTCTAGTTCTGTCTAATTCTGTTCTAGTTCTGTTCTAGTTCTGTTTTAGTTTTGTTCTAGTTATGTTCTAGTTATGTTCTAGTTCTGTTCTAGTTATGTTCTAGTTCTGTTCTAGTTATGTTCTAGTTCTGTTCTAGTTCTAGTTCTGTTCTAGTTCTGTTCTAGTTCTAGTTCTAGTTCTGTTCTAGTTCTAGTTCTGTTCTAGTTCTAGTTCTAGTTCTGTTCTAGTTCTGTTCTAGTTCTGTTCTAGTTCTGTTCTAGTTCTGTTCTAGTTCTGTTCTAGTTCTGTTCTAGTTCTGTTCTAGTTCTGTTCTAGTTCTGTTGTAGTTCTGTTGTAGTTCTGTTCTAGTTCTGTTCTAGTTCTAGTTCTGTTCTAGTTCTGTTCTAGTTCTGTTCTAGTTCTGTTCTAGTTCTGTTCTAGTTCTTTTCTAGTTCTGTTCTAGTTCTGTTCTAGTTCTGTTCTAGTTCTGTTCTGGTTCCGTTCTAGTTCTGTTCTAGTTCTGATCTAGTTCTATTCTAGTTCTGTTCTAGTTCTGTTCTAGTTCTGTTCTAGTTCTGTTCTAGTTCTGTTCTAGTTCTGTTCTAGTTCTGTTCTAGTTCTATTCTAGTTCTGTTCTAGTTCTGTTCTAGTTCTGTTCTAGTTCTGTTCTAGTTCTGTTCTAATTCTGTTCTAGTTCTGTTCTAGTTCTGTTCTAGTTCTGTTCTGTTCTGTTCTGTTCTGTTCTGTTCTAGTTCTGTTCTGTTCTAGTTCTGTTCTAGTTCTGTTCTAGTTCTGTTCTAGTTCTGTTCTAGTTCTGTTCTAGTTCTGTTCTAGTTCTGTTCTAGTTCTGTTCTAGTTCTGTTCTAGTTCTGTTCTAGTTCTGTTCTAGTTCTGTTCTAGTTCTGTTCTAGTTCTGTTCTAGTTCTGTTCTAGTTCTGTTCTAGTTCTGTTCTAGTTCTGTTCTAGTTCTGTTCTAGTTCTGTTCTAGTTCTGTTCTAGTTCTGTTCTAGTTCTGTTCTAGTTCTGTTCTAGTTCTGTTCTAGTTCTGTTCTAGTTCTGTTCTAGTTCTGTTCTAGTTCTGTTCTAGTTCTGTTCTAATTCTGTTCTAGTTCTGTTCTAGTTCTGATCTAGTTCTATTCTAGTTCTGTTCTAGTTCTGTTCTAGTTCTGTTCTAGTTCTGTTCTAGTTCTGTTCTAGTTCTGTTCTAGTTCTGTTCTAGTTCTGTTCTAGTTCTGTTCTAGTTCTGTTCTATTCTAGTTCTGTTCTAGTTCTGTTCTAGTTCTGTTCTAATTATGTTATAGTTC